TATGTGCAACAACAGCATGCTGTCTCAGTGGCCTTACACATGATTTTAAATCTATTTTTTCAAACTTTATGATTTAAATAGGGATGATTGTACTGAGAATAATTTTCATCTTTTCTTCAACTGAATACTGTTTCCATGCTGTTTTGATGTATTTTAAATTGTTGGCAGTCAAAATGAAAACTGCTGGATGATAGATACTCTTCATTCTTTATGACAAACAAGAAAATGTGAATTACATAATGTACAACGTTTTTAAAATATACAAATTGCGGTGTACAGTGTTTATTATAAGGGGGTAGAATCCACAGCTCAGTACTCACTACTCAATACTCATGAGTACTTTTAAATAGGCTACTGTTTTACTCTTACTCAAGTAGATTTTTGGACAAGTACTTTTACTCTACTCACACTACATTTTTTGGAAGGTAATGGTACTTTTACTTGAGTATATTTTTTCAGTAATCTTTCCACCACTGCTCTTTATACCCCTCATTATTGCCTTGCATCATAATTCAAAGTGGCAGTTGCCAGAGGCCTTTAGATTGGTGCCAACTGGTAATCAACCTATCATGACTCACCTTTGCAAACATTTTAAAGTTTTTCATGTCATGTTCTTTATTTTGGCCACCCCCTTTAAGTCATATACAGTGTTGCCTGGTGATTTCACCCCAGCTGAGATGTCATTGGCCCTTGAGTGACATTTACTGCCGCACAAACATGACTGTAGCAAAATGGGTTGTTTTTTTACAGAGCTTGATTGTTTGGTTTGCATTGAAACCCTGTGCGGTGATAGAAATGCTGCATTAGGATAATACCACAGACAAAAGTGGCAGTAAAGATTACACCATAGAGGAACATTAGTCTTCACTTGTGTGTATCATTACATAACAGCTGTGTTACACACACAATATCCCTCAAATCCATTAAAAGCTGATTAACCATGTTGCCTGAGTAGAGAACCCACTTGGCATTGTCTTTCTAGTGAAGTGTTGCAAATATAAGAAATTGGTTTAATGTGTCAGATAATGAGGTCAAAAGTGCAAGCTTTATACATAAATGGACATTTTGATTTTATCTCCTCATGGTTAATGGAATAAATACCAGTAAATGAAAATAACAATATTGTATAGCTAATTTAACTAATGTCCTGCACACATTCACCTCAGTGCTGTGTAAGGGAAACAGGTCAATTTAGCTCAAAGGGAATCATTTAAGATTTTAAAGGGAATTTGGACAGAATTACTGTTTTACGGCTGATCACTGAGTCGGCCAGCGATTCATTGAACGGGCCGCATAACATCAATTCTGCAATGGATATTTATATCCAAAATATAGTGAAAACACTATTAATTAGCACAGTAACAAGATCGGCAGTTTAAGACATTAACTTGTAAGCACAAAACTCAAGATACTTCTCTTTTCAATATAAATAAGGCTTTATTGGATAAATCTAAGACATATAAACTAATCTAACACATAAACACACGCATTCACACAAGTTGCAGAAAGAGAGAAAGTGAGGAAATAATTAGTTTAAGAGAATGAAAATGTGAAATCCCAAGTTTACAGCAATATGTCTAATTGCAAAGACCTAAACAACCATCAATCGCTTAATTAACCCTCGCATTGAGTTCCTCAATGAGGTTAAACTTTATATTAAATGCACCAGTTCAGCTAGGATCTGGAGGTACTTGCGTTGCGTGCGGGGTTCCCTTCCTTGTCTGGTTGCCGAAAGGGGTTTCCCGAGGTCGCTGATTGGCTGGAAGTTCAGTCTTGGGAAGCCAGTGGTTGGGCGCTGGCTGACGACACGGAGCTGTGGTTTGAAGTTTAAGTTTTAGACGGCACTCTTTCGGAGACACGGCGTTAGGCAAAACTTAACTTGTAACACAAAACTCTCAATGGAAAATAAAAGAAACTAAAGTAAAGAAATAGAAGCAAAGTTTGACGAGACTAGGTGGCATTTCTCCTCATGGTTTTGGAGGAGCTGGCGTGTAAGCCAGAGCATGCTCAAAAAGCTAAAGAAGCATGATTAAAAAGCATAGCTCAAAGCTCTGACTAAAAAGAAAGGCAGTGAAACAAAAAGCGAGCAAAGAAGGGGTTGAAGAGTTGAAGAGTTTCATGTTTCAACCATGTTTTGACCAAATCTTAGATTGTCTGATTCGGTCTGATATCCTACAGCTGCGCATGCTGTCAGGAACACAAGTCACTACAGAAAATGGCCATTGATTACTGACAGAGCTTTTTGGTCTTTGTCAGTGTTTAACAATTTATTTGGGCTGACAAAGCATGAAATGGGAATCTGATTTCAATTTGGTGTTGATTAACTCTTACTTAATATGAATTAGTTTTCCATTAGAAAACTGCTTGCAAAGGAAGCTGTTACTCTGAGTACTCTTCTAACTACCATCAGTCTCTATTTCAGATACACTAGTATATACACCTCTGGAAGGGGGAGAAATGTTAACTAATGTCCCAATATTTTGGCCAGATGAGCTTGTATCTAATTAAGAATTCATAGCTTAATACCAGTTTACTGGATCTCATACTTTTTCATTTGAACATCATATACTGACTATAAAAGTACTTTTTATTTTTCCTTGTAATATTCAGTTTTGTCTCAGTTTATAAGACCATGAATTATAGTAAAGGATAGCAGTGGGGGCAACTGTAATGCCCTACATTTTGTCAATTAAACAAGATGATTTAATGTGATTTTAATCTTTGTTGAATGCCAGATATTTAGACTGTAACTGGTGGCTACTCTACAGGTTTGAATTTTTATTTATTTTTAGCAAGTTCAAGGGCGACTGAACTAAAAATTATGATATAAAAATTTGTGTGACTGAATTGAAACATTGGCTGTTTTGGGAAACTATTTTTGA